CGCTACACTGATTCATTCAAGTCACTTAGAGACCTTTGTGACTTTAATATTTCTAAGGGTAGCACTCCCCCGATGTATACTGTCACAAAGAGGTAGGAATTTATCTGCTATTCAGATAACTATGATCTTGGCTAGTGGAATCCACATATCAAAATGAAAGAGGTTACAGACTACTTAGTTGTTTAGTAATATGTTTTATTGATTCATGAAAATATGTTGCTGGTGTGAACACAGTCTTGGAACAGAACTAACAACATGTATAATACTTCATATGAGCTGTGGTCAAGATCTGACCGAATAAGTTCAAAATAGTTGGGCGCCGCCGAGTGAGAAGTAGACAGCGAAATTGAAACAAGTAATTCTAACGTCTCGTTCAGTAAACTGATCCGAACTTCTTTTTTCGAATAATTTCCCTGAAGAAGTTTGGACCAGTTTGCTGAACGAAACGTTGGAATTACTTGTTTCAATCTCTCTGAGATTATAGAAATATAATTTTTATATGCACAGTACTGTAGTAACAGTAGTTTATAGCTGAGAGCTGACGAGTTGTTGAGTACTTTTTAGCTCTGATATTTAATCGTAAATATTTCTTCGACAGACTGGATCAGTGTTTACCACAATCTACTACATTAGATACACCAAACGGTTGTTTTATGTTACTCTGCCGGCAAAGAAACTCGAAGCTGGTTTCCCTCACATTGTGTGACTAAGCGAACAATTAATAGTATTGAGACATATCTTACTAGGCTAGTCATCAAAAGAAAAATACACCTAGGACAAATATGTCCAAATTCTAGTTCACTTGAAGATTTTTATGCATTTGAATGGCTTTGTGTAACATACCTTACACTGACATCCTACAGCAACTGATTTTTATTCCATCGTTTGCGCTCGAAACTGTTTCATCAACCTTTAAGGTTTCAGTGGCGGTCTTATTGTTCCTATGGTGTGGGGACAGCAGTCACACGTGTCTAAATCTTCCGAATTTTTCGGGCACATTACCAACTAGCAAAATAGGCCCGGTTTAAGAGTGAGTCAGTTGGGAATCTAACCTAGACTTTCTACATGGTGGTTGGTAGGCATTCTACCATCGAATTATCGACGCCTCCAACCGATGACGGGCATTCTATGCTAATCACACTAAAAAAACAACTTCATATTTAGGTATTCAAGTATTGGTTGGTAGGGATTTAGTTGATTGGTTACAGGATTTCATCATGAGCTGACATTGGTTAGAGAACTATTGGAAAACTTGGGAATACTGGAGAGCCGTTTCGTCCTAGTTTAGGACTCTTCGGCAGTAGGCGCCCACCGGGATTAGAACCCAGGACCTTCTGGTTACAAGGCGAGCTCGTATACCATAAGCCACTGGGACCCGATTCAATGGCCCATAAATTCTAACTTCCAGTGGGAAGTGGTGACCAGTAGGGTGCAGCAGGTCGGGTGTGAGGACAAATACTCGCCGAAGACATTGGCTAGCGGTTGCGCTATATCGTGAATTCATATTTAGGTGTTTGACCTTACAAACAGTAATGGTATTAATACTTGTTATAACTGTAATTACTCAGTTTTCAAAATAAGAGATTAAATCGTTATGAAAGCGCCATGTCTATCCGTCAATTTCTCATACTTCCAACCAGTATGACTTAAACTAGACATTGAAATTCAATTAACTAACACAGAAGAGAAAAACTGAACAAAACAACACGATCATTTAACCTAAAACCAGATTTTTTTTTAAAAATTAGAAGAGTGTCAGTTTCGGTTTCAAATAAACTTTACAGATACATACACACACACACACTCATTCTCTCTCGTGTGGAAAATAGTGGACATATGTGTTATGTATTCAGATGAACAAATCTACAGGAACGCTGATATTAGGAGTGAAAACACAAGAACGCTGGTGGAGTTCCATTTAAAAACAATATTATATATAATAAATGTGTTGAAAAAAATAAGTACAGAGATAACAGTCAATATTTCGACTTGTTAAACCTGACTGCTTGGACCAGAACTTTCATGTACTACAATTATGAACCACACCATCAAACTGAAAATAACGAGTGACTTTAAAGATGGTCCTCACAACTAGAGATATCTCATAGACGTTAACAATGAAGTGTACAAATGGCATCATCTTTCCCACATATATATGAAATAAACAATCCATCAACAGCTACTTGGAAAGTTGTTATGATTACCATCAAAGTCACTCAAAATTTACCCAATATATATACTGCTACTATGATATCGATGTCTGCTACTCCTAAATAGTGCACACAGTAACGATCCTAAGAGAGATCGTACTTTTACAGTCTGATTCTAACAACCACCTACGATTACCAATTTCTGTTGATTTCACTCATCAGTAGATCAAAAGTTTTTAAAAAAAAACTCATTTGAGGATGAAATTATAACTGAAAACTGTCAGAAAACAAAATCTTAAATCAGGAATGACAAGCTGTCCACTAGCAGCGCTCTTTTTGATGGGACTTGACTTCCAACCAGTGCGTTACGAGTTCACACCTCACCACCTATCCTACTGAGGCGTTGGTGGTGGCCAGACAGTCTTCGCATACAACATACTTGGCTGAATAGCCAAATATGCATGTTGTAAATGTATTTTTCTTGTCATATTAGTATTATTCGCGCCATTTTTGTACTTGTCAATACAAAATAAATAAGAATCATTTATCTCTTTCCTAGTTTCTTAATATAATCAACATAAAGTGAAAATTAACCACTGTGTGTATGTTGTTCATACTTGAAAGAGAACCAAAAAAGGACCAATGCGTAGGAAAACAGCTGAGAGAGATTTAGAAAACAACTAACTGGAAGAGAACACACACACACAGACAAAGGAAAACAGGAGAACGAGGATATAATAATTTCCCTACCACCTCCTCCTGCATACTTTCCTTGTTTATTGCCTAGTTAGTTGTCTGTTATGCTCTCTGAGAATTTCCTAAACCCTGTATGTAAATATATACACGTATGCGTTTATGTGTGTGTTGTTTCGTTTTCATCATTGTTAAATTAATTCCCACTTTCTTGTTACTTTATTACTTAGCCTATAAAAATATAAAAAGGCTTTGCTCTGCATTTTGTTTTCATCAGCATCACTTATATGTTTACTTACACGCAAAAATAAGGAAACGGATGGAAATATCATTAAGTTGAAAGAAAAAAAAATTTATACACATAAATCTGGGCAACCAAAAATCGTGTTGTTCTACTACTTTTCCTTTTATTTGCTACAATTACGAAACTAAATTAATTCAATAATGAATGTTGAACAGATTGAAAAAGACGATGTGTCAGAGAAAGGGTGATTAGAGGTTTCTCTGAAAAATGTGACATTTTTTTACTGAGTACCTTCTTTTAGTGATTATTTCAAACACTTCCTAATTGAGCTGTACTAGAATTAAGTTACTCAGGATAGATTTCTACTTTACCAAGCCATGAACCACATATATTTTGTGTGTGTGTGTGTGTGCGCGCGCGCGAGATGATTATACTATTCAGTTGCATAAGCTGAAGTTTGTGGAGCAGGATTCGAACCCTGGATCCGGAGTTGAAAAAAGAATGCATAAGCCAATGAACCATAACATTACTATTTGAGGTGTCCATGATATTAGCAGTTTTCAATCTGAGAATCATTAATTGCAAGTCATGTTTTTAAGCTGATGAACTTCATACACACACACACGCCTTCACAAACTTCTAAAACGACTGAATAAACTTATCAAACATATGGAAAAAAACGGACTGATGAGCAGTATGGGGTCAAGTTTGGTAGGGTAGTGAATACACTAATTAGATGATAGAGATCTGGATATTCTTCAACTGATCTGCTCACCTAGGTAAAGACCAAACGTTCAACGTCTAAATTCTTCATCAGTTCATTACTTTTAACGGCCATGTTTTGCTAGAATTCAGTGAGATAGAGAGAGCAAAATGCTTAGCAGTACTCACCAACATTAATAGATAGTCATGCAATTTTTTGTGAAAGCTAAATCAGTTGTGCCCGAATGTAAAAATCTCGTTAGGCACCTAAGGAAAAGAACTTAATCAACCTTCCAAGTGAACTGACTGATACACTCAACCACGTCGCTCTCACTATTGATGCAAACTATACGTAAAGTAACAATTCACCTAAGGAGAGCTGTAAACCAACCTGATTGAAATAATGAGGATGTAAATTGGATTTCAAACTATTATCAAATTGGAGAACTATTGAAAACCAAAAAGCAATGAGCAATTGTATCTTGAGGACTAACTTTCCAGTATTAAGTCTGTATACAAAAAAACCCCCAGTAAATCAGTATATCGAATGATAATTATATCCACTCAAATTTGTACAATATTCACACACACACACAACACGCACAAAAATATGGATAAACTGGTCAAATAATATCATGAAAATATTATCCGGTGGATGATGACCAGCAGTGGAATTCGGAAGGTGCATTTTGTCCTATTTGGGACTCGTCATCTGGATGCACTTGCGATCTCCAGTGTGAGTAATGGTGTTCCCACTGAGAGCGGAACCCAGGACGCTTCATTTCAAACACCATAATATTAACCACTAGACCATTCGGGCCAAGAGAGCCATTGCTAGTCACCATACACCGAATAACATCAATATGAATCCTCAGGCATTGTTGAAGCGTCGTCCATACTAGTCATTCGACATATCAACAGAAGCTGAACATTTTGCATCAATCGACCAACGGGAATAACAAAAAAAATTGACTTTAAAAAATTATGGTCAAACAACGTAAAGTATTTCTCGCTAAAAATGGTTAGATTTATCCCTTGAAAGCAAAACATAAGCTATGCACATACATCTACATAAAGCCAAGATAAACAGAGTTTTAAGGCTTGTTTACCGATTACAAAAAATACGAAACTCATTGAATGAACAGATATTCAACAATATAACAATGCAGAAAAAAGAGTAACAATCTTTTAGAGTTAAAGAAAAAACTTACTAGTGTTTGCTTCAAAAAGCCTTTTGTACGCTTACGCTTTGGTATACCACATCGACGAGCTCGTTTATACGTCTGTTCAAGTAATGGATCAGTTCCAGAACTCTGTGATTCACTCAGCTTAGTAAATTCCTGGGAGAAGATTGAAAACAAAAACATTCAGATAATTATGCTCAGGATCATATAGAAATGACATTTGAAAAATAACATTTGCTAGAAATTTAACATCAATTGAGCACAATTGTACAACCAGTCGATTAAGAAGGGAAAGAGATCGCTTAGGGGAATTTTACTTCATAAATCAATGATCAAAGGCGCTATAAGAGAAAGCAGAATATGCGATTATTTTAGTTCCCCGCAGCTAAGGAGAGTGCAGCAATGAACACCTACTTTCACTCCCAACCATTTTGAAGACAGTTCAATTTCTTGGATTTAAGCGTCCATAGAGCATTTCAACTGTCAAACAAATAATGATATATATATATATATATAGTAATATAGATTCGATGATGAAAATTGCAAAGCGCTTACATACCCTTAACTTTCCCATTTGTCATTTAAATTACAAATACTTTTAAAAGCAAAGAATGTAAGTTAACTCATAGAATTACGTAATTATACCTTATGAAATGCTTTAAGATATATACTACACATGCAGAATGACGGTTTGCCTGGAGGTAGTATTGTTTTCCAGGTAAAATGATATTAGCAGAATAATAAATCTAACCAGATCAAGATAAAACGTCTATACATGAAGTAAGAGTAAGAATTGATTGCTGTGGTAGGTGTACAATGTGATATCTTACCGTTAGATGAATAAAATTCCGAGTTATTTTGTAGAAAATTATCTTTTATTTTTACGAGTTTGACTGCGGATTGATATCAGTTAGAGAACCATTGAATACCAGTACTTGAGTACTGGACAGCTGTTTCATCCTAGTTTGGGAATCATCGGCAGTACGCACCCACCACCACGTTCGAACCCAGGACCTTCCGGTTACAAGGCAAGCTCGTATACCGTTCAGCCACTGGGACCCGATTCAATGGCCCATGAATTTTAACTTCTACTAATTCGTGATGTTAGCGTTACCACCAACCAATGTTATCGGTGGGAAATCCATCCTCACTCCCGACTGGATAGAACTCACTGGTCACGACCTCTATACTAGAACTCCAGGAAACTCCATCCTGTAGCTAGTCACTCACTATCGAACATCAGATTAATTTTCAAGAGTTGGTTTGTAAAGATTAAATTTGTTTTTCGAGTTTGCTCAAAGACTGATATCAGTTCGAGAGCTTGCCTTGTAACCGGAAGGTCCTGGGTTCCAACCCCAGTGAGTGCGCACTGCTGATGATTCCCAAACTAGGATGAGACAGCTGTCCAGTACTCAAGTGCTGGTTTACAATGGTTCTCTAACTGATATCAATTCGTGGTCAAACTCGGAAACGAAATCTAATCCTGACAAACCAACTCTTGAATATTATTTTTTAATTAAGTTGAAATTTGAAAGTTCATACTTACCGACAATTTATAGCACAAAACAACCAACACCCAAGCTCACTCGTGATACTAGTCCTTGTTGGCAAAATGATTAACACTAAATGTCACAAAATTTTTGTCAGAGATTTTATGAAACATACGTCAAAACTTCTAAAGGATAGTGAGTTACTGATGAATTAAACGGTTCGTGACAAGTCAATGTTAAAATCTTTAAAAGAATTTAAGTATTAGCAGTATTACTTACTATTCTATTCCTACGCGTTCCAATGGAACATAGGGCTTCAAGCTTAAGCTTTAAAGTTTCAGTAGCGGTGGTTTTTTACGGAGTTCAGGTAATAGCCCCTTACGAGCATACAACCAGTTAAGGGAGGTGAAGGGATGCGCCGGTCGGGAACTGGACCCCCAACCACATGCATGGTTGGTGAGCATTCTACCACCGAATGACTACCGAAGCACAAGTATCAATATATTCTTACTTTATCTATTGGCATTTCATTATGCTCCTGGTTCCATGAATTTTGGTGGTTTTCTCTATCAATAATGAGACAGGTAAAATTTCTAGATTGATGTTTTTTTCTCATTCTCATTCTAGGGCACTAGCTTTAGTAGTTCAGGTATGTACCAAAAACATCATTCCAGACATGGGACGGAGTGAGAAAAGCGGAGAAATGACATGATGACATTGGATGAAGGATTGTTGTGCGGGTGTGTATTTGTTGATGCATGACGACGCCACCCTTGGATCGAAGTCTGAGTGACTCAAGACGTTACTGAATATGACTAAGAACCGAAACCAATGGAGAACAACCTGAAATTAACATGAAGTAATGAACACAACCAGAAGGTCCTGGATTTGAATCCCGGTGGGTGCGTACTGACGAAGAGTCACAAACTAGGACGAAACAGTTGGTCAGTACTCCTAGATTTTCCAATGGTTCTCTAACCAATGTCAGCTCATGATGAAATCCTGTAACCAATCAATTCCCTACAAACCAACACTTGAACGCAACTTGCTTTTTGTATGATACTGTCCCTTATTCACCCAATTTCGCTATCTCTTAAACTGTTTTTGTATTATTTTTACTTCATCTCTTTATGCCTAGATTGTGGTTTAAATAAATAATAGCAAAAAAATTTTCTTTATTCTGTTCTAATAATCTAGTTCAGTGAGTGTAATTACACACTGTGAGAAGTATGTTGCGGAGACCTATTTTTTCAGTGATTTCATTCTTAGTTTACGTTCCAGTACCACAGAATACGTCAAGACAATAACTGACTGACTAGTTGAGTTTTCAACGTAGAACTTTGCACAAAATGGGCAGCACTTCAAATTACTACACTTCACTAAGCAAACCTAAATGTAACGAAAAGAAATGTAATGAAGCTGTCTACCCCTTTAACCTGAATAGTATTCACCACATAATAATACCATCTAACATGGAAAACAGAAGACAAACACTTATGGTCAAAGACAACTCGTTTATTTATATTTTTCATTTTTAACGGTCATGTCTCAGCCGTAAAGAAGGACAGAGAGAACTGCTACACAGTACACACCTTCCACAGAATATAACATATAGGTCAAAGTAGATGTAAGCTGTAAAATACCAGATGAGTCTTTTGCATCCATGATGAGATTTTGTCATCAATATCAGTCCATTAGGTTTGATGTGATAAATACCATAGTAAATAAATAACATATAAAAGATCACTTACTTAACAATAACACCTACTCAGTGTATAAAGATAATTTTCGAGTTAAATAGGTAAGCAATGCATACTATTGTAAATCTGTCATAGTAGAATCAAAGCAAAATTCCTACTGCCATATTATTTTACTTAATAATACAGTGCAAATGACAATCTCTGTTTTTAGTAATGTCACATCTCAAATGGGTCTGTCTGTTTTCAACGTAGAACTTTGCATCGATGTGCAGCAGTTCGAGTCACCACACTCCACGTAGCACACAAAGCAAGAGAAGAAATGCAAAATAGAAACAGTAGAAAAGGATATGAGATAAAAGGAATAGTAATAACGAAGAACAATATAGTTTCATTGGAAATTATAAGTCAAAAAGAGTGGATGCATCTGCACCAGCCATTGAGAACGATTTTGAGCCATATCATCAATTGTCTCCAGCCTTCATTGGTTTTACTGTCCCGAGGACCCCAACCAGTCAGGAAGTCTACACCTTCCTACGTGACTTAAACTAACTGTTGTGGATTTCATTGACTGATGAAGCCATGTTTCGGTTTGACCACCACTGGCTATTTTCCTACCTGATCAATCCTATGTCAGCTAACATTGCCCGTTGTCGAGGGAGGCGATGACTAGGCATACATATCACATGTCCTAACCATCTTGATCGATTGATTTCCCTCCTTAACTAGCACTCGACACCTGACCTCAATATTGCTCACCTCATTATACCACTTCACACGGGAGATAGAACGCAGTCATCTATGATCAAAGACAGCTAGCCTCTTCGTGTCTTCCACTCTCAATGGTCAGGTCTCACATCCATAAAGGAAGACGGAGCGGACTGCTGAGCAGTGCACACGTCCTTTGGTCGACAGCCAGCCGGATATCACGTCTACGCCAGAGATGGCGTAAACTGGCATATGCGAAACTAGCCATCTGTATCCATGCAGAAATTTCGTCGGCAATCACCCCGTTAGCACTGGCTGATACAACTTCTCAAATAAGTGAATTGGTCAACATGCTCTACCGCTTCACTCTCTATTTCTAAGCTAGGAATGAGTCAATGTAGTCCAGTCCTGTAGCATCATCTTACATTTGGCGGGAGCGGATCGCATACCGAACATTCGTAGATTGCAGCTCAAGTTGTTCAGAAGACTCTGCATTTTGTCAGTGTGTTCACCTAGGAGGCAGGACTATATCATCTGAATATTCTAAGTTAAATGAGTGATCTTAAAGGCTTTGTTTATGAATACAGAATCATTACACTGAAATAGTTTACCTTCCATGTGCTTGCTGATTATGGTGTCTGACAATGACATATAGGTGTGTTTGACTTTAAGGAATGAAACAGCTGACAACTGTTTGAAATAAACACACAAAAGTAAGCTAAAGACAATAAATCTTGTATCCATTAAAGTCGTTACAGGAGATGAATCGCGAACCCGAATATCTCAGTGGTAAAAATTCTGACTGTACTACTGGGAGACCCAGGTTCGAGTCCCACAGGGTGGGGAATAAGTTCCTTGAAGACTAAAGATATACCTTACTGACGAATGACAAGTACGAAATCTAGGTCCAAGGCTTCCTGCAGATTGCCTTCAACATCATCTTGTTTTCTGATCATAATCGCTCGATAAAATTTCAACGAACAACAAAGTCAGTAAGAAAAATGTCCATCTAACCAGTTAATGAGGTACATCCTGCAATAAATTTTACTATTGAGAAAGAAAAAGACTCTAGTATTTCATTTCTAGACGTCCTTATGACCAGAAAAGAGGATGGCACAATACGAAGAAATGTTTATAGGAAACCTACATCAACCGGCCAGTACACACATTTTCTCAGCTTTGTGCCCTTGAAATACAAACGCAATCTGATAAAGTGCCTGGTCCACAGAGCAAGAGAGATTTGCTCGGATGAATGTCTTGA